AATATTCTTATTATATAGATGAGTAATATAAAAAGAAAAAGATTTTGTGAAGAGGAATTACAGTTCCTCACATATCTAGTTCTCGAAAAAGCTGATGTTACAGAAAATAAAGATACAGATACTGTTTCTAATAAAAAAAAAAAAAAAAAAAAAAAAAAAAAAAAAAAAAAAAAAAAAAAAAAATTCTTTCTGAATTCAATGTAACTTTGTTTACTCAAGCAGCTGCTCATTTAATTTTTTTACTATTATTTTCAAACATTTCAATTTCAAACAAAGAAGATTTTTATTTTATTTTAAATTAAACATTATTTTTTTCTACGCTCATTCTTGCTTACGTTTTTTGATTAAAATTTATCTGTATTTTTCTACTCTATTATTTTCTGTATTTTACAATATACTGTTTAAAAATGTATCCTCTCCTCTAATCTTAACTTTGTTTTATCCCATCCTACTACTTATCCTTTTTTTAATTCCTTAATGACTAATACCTTAATCTCCTGCCACATTAACTCCCAATCCCTTCCTGCACCTTATGACGAATTCCTAGATTATTTTCACCACAATTTCTACCATATTGCCGTATCCGAAATTTGGCTCAAACCTGATATCCCCTCACCATCTGTTTCCTCACTCGACTATACCCTCTTTTGTCATGATTAGGCGGATCGATCTGGAGGATGCATTGGTCTGTTCGTTCATGATAGCTTGAAGGCCAAAATCCTTTTAAAATCACCTTCTTCTGATATCCCATTTGAATATCTACCCATCCTTGAATATATATTTGTTCAAGTTTCCTCTAGAACCTTCTCCCTACTCTACATCATTATTTACTGCTCTCCTCATGTCCGTCATTATTGCAGGCGATCTCAACACCAACCTCTTTTCATACTTTCCGGACAGAGCATACCTTATAGACCTGATTTTCTCCCTAGACTTATTTATTGTTCCCTTTCAACCCACTCATCATACCCAGTACACTGATACCTGGTCAGACTTATTTATCATTGATTCCCCTCAAAACCTCTTATAGGCCTGTTTCCTTTCTCTCATCTCATGATCTTATCAAAATCTCATATTATCCATACACTTATTCTGACAAAAATTTCCTGGAGAGATCTTGACTCCCTAACCATTGAAAACACGAGATCTTATCTCGATTCCATATCAGTTTCCTTCCAACCAATCTACTCCCTTTCCTCCATTGATGATATGGTGGAATGCCTTTCTTCCAACCTCCTTGATTTCCTTAACCACCATGTTCCTCTAAAAACCCGTATTTTTAGACGTCCTCCTGCTTCCTGGATAATTCCAGAAATTAGAGAGTTTATGAGAAGTAGAGCGGATCTCTATGAAACAGCATATTAATATCCCTACATCGTGCCGAAGCGCAATACTTTAACAATATATTATCCCAAGCACCTAATCCTAAATCCAAATGGACAATCCTCACGAACCTCTCCGTTATCAGCTCCAAAACTTGCACACTTTATCCAGTAAAACCGAACGGATTTAATTACGTTGTTCGCAGACCATTCACGTCTGACGTCTCACTTTTTTCCAACACTCAAACCTTCTTTGACCCCAATAAGTTTTACTTTCTTGATATTTCTCCAACTGACCTACTCTCTACAATCCTTAAATCCAAAACAAATGACTATAGTCCTGATCAAATATTTGTGAAAATCATCAAACTCTGCCTTACAACCTTACTTCCTATACTTTTACACATTTACAATTTTTTCCTCCAAAATTCTATTTTTCCTAAAGCCTGAAAAAAAGTCATTGTCCGGCCGTTGAACAAAGTTCCTGCTCCTTTATTAGCTTCTGACTTCAGACCCATTTCCATTTTATCCTAGCCTCCAGAAAGATTAATTCACTGAACTAATACTAGTAGAGTTGAATAATTGTCTCCAGCAAAACCGTCTCCTCAATCCTTTACAGTCCGAATTTTGTTCCCATTACTCCACATAATCTGTCTTGTTAAAGATTACCCAAGACCTCCAATCCGCAATAAATAAACTGAAAATCTCCATCCTAATCCTTTTCCAAAGCTTTTGATTCCATCAATCATAAGATCCTCCTTTCCATACTCCAAAGTCTGCCCATATCAAACAGCGTTCTAAAATGGTTCCTCTCCTTTCTATCCTATCACTCCCAGACAGTTCTTATTCCTATCAAATTTCCTTCCTCTTCCTTTCAATTATCTCCAGGTGTTTCTTAGGGCTCCTTGCTCTCTCCGACTGTTTTCTCTATTTATATATTCCTGACTCCATTTACCACTCCTGCTATCACTTACATGCAAACAATTTTCAAATTTACCTATCGTTCCAATCTTCTGAGATACCTGATGCTACTCGAAAACTGGAATAGGATATTGACTGTATCCACAGGTGGACAGAAAAAAATAATCTGAAGCTGAAAGCAGATACAATTAAGGCTATCCTCATCGGATTCCAGGCACCTCATTAATTCCCTTCTCTTCTCTCTCCTACTTTACCTCAATAACTGCCCTATCCATTCCTTTCCGACAGGCAAAAACCTCGCAGTAATCTTTGATCAGAACCTCTCTTGGAATAACCACATTTACCAGATTACCCATAAATCCATAACTATCCTTAAACAATTCCGTGATTCTGTTCCAAAAACGATCAGACAGCTCCTTGTAACATTCTTATTTCTCCCCACTTTGACTATGGTTGCTTGGTGTATGACTGTTCAATAGACTGGAAGCAAGGCTAAAGAGACTAATGAATTGCTTCATAAGTTTCATCTTGAGGATTCCAAGGCATATCCATATTTCCTCCCTATACACCAAGTTGAAGTGGCTTTATCCTACTTCCTGACAGCAATTCCTTCTTTGTGTTTTGCTTTTCCAAGTGATCAGAACCAAAAATCCTCCCTACATCCTTGAACTCCTTACTCTACGTTCCTCTATCCACTCTCTTAATACCAGATCTCAACCTGTAGATTTATATATCCCCTCCCATAAAACAACTTCTCTCAGCAAATCCTTCAACATTCATGCTATCTTCTTTTGGAAGTCCTTATCTATCTCCATACGTCAAACCGCATCCACAAATTCCTTCAAACAACTCCTATTCCACCACCTACTACACATTCAAACTTCCGCAAGCTTGTAAGAATTTTTAGTTTATGTAAATACAATTGCTCACCAACAGTTAAATGATAAGAGCTATTTTGTTTTTATATTCTTCTTCTTATTCATTCTTCCCTCTATATGGCTGTGTCAGGGAGTAAAAAAACGAAGTTAGTAGTCCTCCTTAGGTCCTCCAGACTTCCAAACAGCTTGGTCCCAAGGTACAGTTGCCTGGCGAGAATCCACAAGAAAAACGCCTCACACCATAATAATTTGTCCATTTGTTGCCATTTTGCTAAGTAATGCGTGATGTTCAGTTTTCCTTGACCATCGTATAAAAATGTCAGGGTGACTATGTGCACATTTCAGCCAACATCTCTGACTTATTACTTACTGACTCTTATTTATTTACTAAGGTCATTGATGACTTTGAACTGATATACACTGACAGGCAAAAAATTCCACCCACTTCATTTTTTCATGTTTTCATCTAAAAATATTTCACCCACTAGTAAAAAAAAGTTGTATTTGTATGTAATACATAGTATTTGTAGATAATACTTAGTATTTATGGAATTTTATAATCTTTTTTACCTTTAATAATCAAAATGTGATTGGGTAAGAAAGATTAGAGAAAAAAAATTGAAAAACGAACCATTATTATTCTAAAAGAAATTAATTACATCATCGTTAAGTAGCGCGTGTTTCCTCCTGTTGCCTTGAGTACTTCTTGAAGACGCCTCGGCATACTTTCTACCAGTCAGGAAATGTCCCTTTGCTGGAGGATAGCCCATTCCTCCCGAAGAGCCCTTTCAAGATCCTGCAGATTATCAGAAAGTGTTGCATGCGCTGTTATTCGTCTTCCGAGGTTATCCTATAAATGCTCAATGGGGTTCAAACATGCTGGAGAACATGCTGGCCAGGCTAAAATCTTAATATTGTTCTATTGAAGGAACGTCTGCACTATGTGGGCTACATGTGGGCGTGTATTAGAATAGAACGATCGCCGATTTCGTTGAGAATAGGCAACACATGAGGTTCCGAAACCTCATCTACATAGCGAATGGCCGTCAAAGACTCTCCACGAACAACAACCAATTCTGTGCGGCGCTCCATTGAAAGCCATTAATCCATACTCATTTAATCTTCTCCGAGCGGTACGTTCAGAAATTTGCACACCTCGAACTTCTTCGAGCTGATGAATCGCTTGAACAACGGTTAGGTGCCGGTTTTGTAAAATTCTCAAAGTCAAAAACCGGACATCCCGTGGTTCTGTTACCCTAGGCCGTCCAGAACCGGATTCTATTGTAAGAACCAGTTTCCTGAAAACGCCTGGCGGTGTCTCGTAAAGTTTCATATGGAACTCCGATGACATTAGCTGCATATCTAATGGAACGTCAATCATCAATAAGTGCATCCTATTAAATAAGTCCATAACATCCTCAGCACTAAGAGGCATTTTTAAACTTAATATTGAAAAAATTAAAAGCCGGAGGCTAAGAAATGTGCTGCAAGAAACGGCACTGAACTAATGATACTGAATAAACATTTTGATTCCATAGAAAGTAAACATTGGAATCTAGAATCATTTAATTGGATTAAGGATTAAGAGTTATTGTCCTCTATATTTACATTCCTAATTGAAAACAAACAAAAAGATTACCTATTTATTCATTAAAAACAATAGACCAATCCAAAGCTGAAATATTTTTAGATGAAAACATGAAAAAATTAAGTGGGTGGAATTTTTTGCCTGTCAGTGTATATTCACATTTTTGATAAAATCATGATTGCTTGCTATGATGACTAAGTGCTTGTTAATTGTATGCCCTGTTAGTTAAATTATTTCTATTACAATTGTATTCTAAAATTTGTTAAAATGAAACTAAATTTTGTTGATCAGGAAACTGTTGAGAAGGTGACATCTTTTAAAAAGTGTCCAAGATATGACCGTCATGGCAATGAGCTCCCCCCATCTACTGGTTCCTTAGAGGAACTGATAGAATCAGGAGAAACTCAATTCCTTCAACTGGCAGGTATGAAGTTGCTGGTGATTATGCAACAGAAGTATCACTCATATTTTCACAATATTTTCCTTTTTTGTTTTTATAGCATAATTATTTTCAATTTCAAAAATTAAATGTGTTAATAAAATACACATGACGAAAGAAATAACAGTCCAAATTATTCAATACCTAATTAAGAACTTAACCTTAAAGTTAATTAAGTTATACTTATTTTATTTTCAAAAATTGAATGTGTTGATAAGGACTTGAAAATGTTTTTGAAACTTCTAATGATGGCTTGATGGGAAGTACAAATTTTGTTGGACCGCAAGTGTTTTTTTGTTTTTAAATAATTCTTTTTTTAATGAGAGACGTGTTCCTGGGAAGTTAGTGAGGTTGACGAAGGCATATACCAACGATCCTAAATGCCGAGTACTGATACAATGAGAAGTCATCGATTTTGAAAAGAACTGGATAAAGTGTTGTGTACTGTGCTGTGCAAACGGTCCAATTTCTCAGTCACTTTTCCCCACCACCCAAAGGTAAAAGAAACTGCTTAACACAAGCAGTTTTTCCTCTTTCCATATTCTTTATTGTTTTGAGCTTTAAATTTTCCTCTGATAATTAAATATTTTTTAGGATTAATACGTTATTATATAATTTATATAATCACATTAGGAGGGAACAGGAAAAATATGTAATTTGGCTTAAGCAATAGAATGCCTTTGATTAATTCAACTGGACCAAACAATATTTCATTATTGTTTATTAATTATTAACAAAATAGTTATATACACATAAAATATCAATCTCATAAATGTTATTATTTATAATATAACAATGTTTCTATTTAAAAAGTTTTAAATAAAATTAATTTATTGCATTTTCATCCATTTTTTCTTAATTCTAGATCTTTAGGAAAATTGTTATGATCCATTATTATATTTACTGAATTTAATTCCGTTAAAATACTTTATTAATTTAGTGACATGATTCCCATAGCATTAATGAATTCCGTTAGTAGTACAGTAAGTGTGGAATTCTTCACTCTGGAAGATTGATGCGTTGTCAGAGACAATTACTTGAGGATACCCATGTTATGCAAAGATAGATTCCAAATTTAATATGGTAGAGGAACTAGAGGAACGCATCCTTGCTGATTTTTATCTTGGCCCACTTAGATTTACCATCTACAACTATGAAAAAACGATTTTCAAATGGACCAGCATTATTCAGGTGAGTCCTTTCCGAGTTATCGTTTGTGGAATCCCAAGGATGGGCTGTCACTTTTGGGGGCTTTTTTTTCCTCAACAAAGGAATACACCGCTGCCTCGAAAAGGCCTATTGTACATACTTCTATTAAAGTCACTCCTATTTTTTCAGAGCATTATTCCTGTAGTCTCAATGATCTTCAGTAAGCTTGTTGGGTTGATGAGCTCGTTTGCCTTGGGATCAATCACACTATCAATGCCGAATAGTCGTAATCTCAGTCCAGCAAACTTGTCACACCAACAAGTGATGTGATAAGCTGTTTCATCTTTCTTGCCACAGTACTTACAAAGAGACAACTCCGTTAGCCGGAGATTGAACATATGATAATTCAGTTTACAGTGTCCAGTATATACCACTGTAATTTTCTTAAGTGAGCTCATGCTCAAATTAATTTGTAGGTTGCTTCTTTTCGGGCAGATTCCTTCCAGGAACAATCTAGAGTGAGTCTGTTTTTCCAAGCACCAGTATTTTTTAGCTTCAGTACTATAAATCTCCCCAATCCTATTATTTATTAGACACAGACTAATTCCACAGATAGGTTCAGGAACTATGGGAATCGCTTGCGAGCCTTGTCTGGCTAGTTCATCCGCCATCTCATGAATTCCAGAGTGACCCGGAACCCATTCAATGTTTGCCTTATTAAGTTAGAGAAGTCATTAAGAATTACTGCACAATCCTCAACAGCCTTAGATCTAGTTGTATAATGGCCAGTGCTCGTATTGCTGCTTGACTGTTATATATATGGAAATTTTCCACCTAACCAGCCTATCGAACAACAGTTTTGAGGCACAGTGAGTTATCGCCAGTATTTCAGATTGGAACACCGTTGCATATTTGCCGAGTGATATTGACATGCCTTCCTCTGGTTCATCCTTTCTCCAAAAGCCAGCACCAGATCCGCATATCATTAGTGACCCATCAGTGTATGTAATTAATCCCATTAATGCAAACCTGTTATTATTAATAGGATCTATTAGTTCGCAGCGCTTGGGGTCAGTGATACGATCATACCTAAAGTGAAAGTATCCCAGTCTAGGCAAATTATCACATCTAAAAATAATGTGATAGACTGTTTCATCCTCTAGGCCACACAGCCTGCAGGTGGAGGTCTCACTTTCTCCCAAATTAAAGATTTGCTTATTTAGTTGACACTGACCAGTCCTGTCATACACCTAATGGTGCTCCTGTACATTAGAAGAAGTGATTTACTTCTCTTGTGATAGGGCCCTATTAGGAACTACTTAAAATGAGTTTGTTTCTTAGTCTGTTCCCAATATAGTCTAAATTTATTATCCACAATCGCCTTAATATGCCTTTTAGCAAAGCCAAGGCTTATCCCACAGATAGGTTCTGGTGCAACCGGCACTTGTGCAGAGCCTTTCCTAGCAAGGCAATCGGCTTTCTCATTTTCTCGAATGCCTGAGTGCCCAGACACCCATTCTATCCTCACCTTGTTGGCACTACCGAGAAGGTTTAGATTACCCTTACATTCATCTACCAACTTGGAGCTAGTTGCATAACTATTCAAGGCCCTGAGAATAGAATCCCGCCGCATTCTATTTAACAATCAGGGAGTCGACCAGACACCACAAAAGTGGTAATGTCACATCCCCCTGTGGATACCCTTCAACAGGTTTAACCCGCAGTACAGATTGTCCCAACTCAGATTTAAGGACTCTCCCTCTCAGAACCGAATTAATCCATTTCAAAGCCAAAAGTCCCCTCTACTTTCCAATGTTCTAGCCATTGTGTCATACAGGATACAATCAAAGGCACCTCCAATATCAACAAAGATACCCACCATAATCTCTTTCTGTGATAAACTTTTCTTGATTCTTGAGACCAAGTAATGCAATGCTATCTCACAGGATTTGCCGGCTTGATGTGCAAACTGGGCACAGTGTAGCGCTCTTTCTACTAATGTAGAGTCACTAATGTGTCTACCCATAATCTTCTCCAGCACTTTCAACAGGAAAGAAGTCAGACATATAGGTCTGTATGCTTTGGGATCATAAGACTTTCTCAGGCTTAGGTATATAACAAACTCTTGCCTCCCTCCACTTACTAGGGATATATGCAAGTGCTAAACTACCCCTAAATTACTCCAAAAGATAGGGTTTAATCACAGGTAGGCCTTTTTGTAAAAGGCCAGGAAAATCCCATCAGTACCAGCTGATTTGAACAGTACAAAAGAACTAATTGCTCATTCAACTTTCCTGGAATTAACACTTTGGCTTCAACCCACTTGTCTTTGCCACAGATGTAACTATCCATAGCAGGAGAACTATATGCTCATCTAGCATTAGGCAGCCAGGAAAATGGACACGTGCCAGAGCATCCAGAGTATCTTTCCCAGAATAGGTACTACTTCCTTCAACCCTGACCATGCCAATGGCCAATCCATCTGTTTGTTTCGATAAGATTTTATGGACTCTAGGCGTGGATGACGTGTTGTTTATATCACTACAGAAGTTCCTCCATGCCCTCCTTTTTGCCTTACGTGTGGCCTTATTGTATTCAGTAAGGACATGCTTATAGATATCCCATCTGCTCGTACTCTTGGCAGCATAAAAAAGTTTTCTAGTTGAGGTTCTTAACTTGCCAAGTTCATAGTTCCACCAGGAGACATTTCTGTTGGACCAACGCAACGCAACTGATATCATATTTCTGCTCTCACGGTGTTTAATTCTGGTTTCGGGGATTTGAAGGATTCCATAGAATCCATTGATTTCCACTTTAGTTCTCAACACCTGCCAACAGTCAATGTTTTGGATCCTACCATTTTGAATCTGAAGTCTTATAAGAAGTAGCTCCTTCAGAATTTTCTCGCCAGGGAAGTATGCCCCTACCCTGATAGCTTTCTTCAGTTCTTCGACATTACCAGCACGGAGTTTAATACCCCCACTGATAGTGAAGCCCTCCACTATTTGGAGGATTTTTCCGGATCAAAGCACAACCTTCACAACTTTTGACCATGTGTATTTTTTTCAATATGCAGCCAATAGATGTAATGATGACCTTGCTGTTTCATCTTGGTGATTCCCAAATATAGCATATTCTAATAATGCTCTTCTAAAATGCTGGAGTGTAGGCTGCTTGGAATGAAAACTCTGTCTTGCCAGAAAATAATATCTTCTGCTAAGGTATACTCCCAGTCTTTCGAGTTTTTCTTGAAGTCATTAATAATTTTAGTAAGTCCTGGATCCGACACAGTTGTAGATTTGATGGTATCGTAAGTTATTGCCAAATTCGATATCTGGAACAGTGTTTCTGTGCACACTTGATTTACCTCTTCACCGATAAGTTCGTCTGATGACGTTCAATGTTGTTTAATTGAAGCTCGAGATAGGCAATCTACGTTTTGATTATCTGTTATGGAATGCAGCATAACAGGGCAACCTAGAAGATGTCATTTGCGGCAGGGTTTTACTGTGATGAAAAATCCTGGACAATTGCTCGTTATCAGTGATGAGTTCAAAGTGTTTTCCATGTAAGTAGTTGTAAAAATGAACAACAACTAAAATTATAGCAATAGCCTCTCTGTCAAGCTGGCTATAGTTAGTTTCAGAGGTAGTTAGAGACCTTGATGAATAGGCAATCAGTCTTTCTGCACCTACGATTGTGTGGCTTAAGACAGCAGCAATCCCTGTTTGGCTAGCATCTTTAGTTAGAACTAGGAGCAATGCTGGATCAAATGGAATAAGAATACGATCACCATGAAGTTTTGCTTTTAGCTTTAAGAATGTAGCTCTGTTCAT